AAATGACTGATGGCCAATTGCTCTGAGCTAGTCCTATTTTACAGCTGAAAATAAATGATTATACAGAATTCTTGACATTCTACAACACAGCTTCTTTTAATGTCCCAGTAGTATTGCTCTTAGATTGGCTGCAAACACATATTCCAGATGTTCACCAGGAGCAGGGAATGATTTCTCTTCCATTTCTACAGTGTTTTCTTCTTACTTTCTATCTGAATTTTCTTTCTTGCCAGAAAAGTATGCAACTTCTACAGATATTATATAGAAAGGGGAAGTCATTCCTTGCCTCTTCACAGAGAATGTGACCATACCATCCACTTGAAGCCCTGAACACAGATCCAAGGTAAAAGGGAATATTCCATGTTGGCTCCAAAATTACCATTTTAAAAGAGTTTCACGATAACCATTTGAAGAAAGGGTTTATGTGTCCTTCTATATCTCCAGTATCTGTACCGAGAGAGAGAGAGAGAGGGGGGGGGGAGGTGTACAATAAATATTTCAGTGAATGGAAGCCATGTTTGCATCTTATTATGGTTTGTCGCATAGTCAACCAGAGGTTCAGACTGGATTTGGCATTTTTTATCCACTTATTGAGTCCTTGCCAAGGACCTGGGATAGGCAAATGTTGACGTTTGATGGTATTAAAGGTATTGTCAAAGATTGTAAGCTGTTCTGAGTAAACCTGCCTTTTGAAATTGACTAAAGGTGATTTTGTCAATGCCAGGGGTGTTCAAGTGGTGCTCCAGTTGTTTTGAAATTGGACCCAAGTCACTTATAACTATTGGTAGTACCTTTGTTTTCTTTTGCCACAGTCGTTCTATTTTTATTTGTGAGTCTTTGTATTTTGTTATCTTCTCCAGTTCTTTCTCTTCTATTCTGCAGTCTCCAGGTATTGCCATGTCCACTATCTAGACTTTTTTATCTTTATCAACAGCTATTAAGTCTGGGATATTATGTGGCATGTGCTTGTCTGTTTGAATTCTAAAGTCTCAGAGTACTTTAGTGTCTTCATTTTCTATTGCTTTTTTATGGTCTCATCAGTTCTTACTTGCAGGTAAATGGTATTTTTCGCAGATCTTCCAATGAACCATTGTTGCTACTTTGACATGTTGTTGTTTCTAGTCAGTCTGTGCAATCTTCTTGCAACAGCTAACTAGTTGATCCATTGTTTCTTCAGCTTCTTTCTGTTGCTGTCTTCTCAATTCTGATTTTATATGCATTTGTTCTTCAGGACTGGTTTTGTGCAGCCAGAATTAGTCCTTCTGTCTATTTCTTTAATTTTTCTGCTCTCAGCCATTGCCAGGTCCTTGTTATTGTCTTCTTTGCCTGTTATATTTTTAATGTACTGACCATGTAATATTCCATCTTCTCATGTCTCTTTTTGGTATATTTATTTATTTATTTATTTATTATGGATCATCGCACAGTCAGCCAGATGTTCAGACTGGATTTGGCATTTTGTCTACCTATCATGTCCTTACCCAGGACCTGGGATAGGCAGATGTGGATGTTTGATGGTATTACAGGTATCGTCGCAGGATGGAAGCAGTTCCTAATAAGGCCGCCTTTTGCAATTGACTAATAGCAAATTTGTCAATGCCAATGGTGTTCAGGTGGTGCTCCAGTTGTTTTGGGATTGCGCCCAAGGAGCCTATGACTATTGGTACTACCCTTGCTTGCTTTTGCCACAGTCTTTCTATTTCTATTTGTAGTCTTTGTATTTTGTTATCTTCTCCAGTTCTTTCTCGTCTATTCTGCTGTCTCCAGGCACTGCCACATCCACTATCCAGACTTTTTTGTCTTTCTTATCGACAATTGTTAAGTCTGGGGTGTTATGTTGCAGGTGCTTGTCTGTTTGAATTCTGAAGTCCCAGAGCAGTTTAATTTTATCATTTCTATGACTTTCTCTATTTTATGATCCCACCAGTTTTTGCTTACAGGCAAATTATATTTTTTGCAGATCTTCCAATGCACCATTGTTTCTACTTTGTCATGCCGCTGCTTGTAGTCAGTCTGCGCAATCTTCTTGCAAGCTTACCAAGTGGTCCACTGTTTCTTCAGCTTCTTTGCATAGGCGGCACTTACTGTCTGTTGCTGTCTTCTCAATTTTGACTTTGTATGCATTTGTCCTTAAGGCTTGGTCTTGTGCAGCCAGAATTAGTCCCTCTGTCTCTTTCTTCAATTTTCCTGCTCTTAGCCTTTGCCAGGTCTTATTATTATCTGCTTTCCCAGCTATTTTTTTCACGTATTGGCCATGTAGTGCTTTGTCTTCCCATGCCTCTATTCTGTTCTTCATTTGGTCTTTCTTGTAGGCCAGTTGGTCTCTCCAGTAGTCAGTAAGCCTTCCTGATATACTAATTTCAGTGCATCTTCATCATTGTTCTTCAGATATTCTTCCAAAGCCATTTTTTCTTCTTCAACCATCTGATGTATTTGTAGCATTCCACGCCCACCTATTTGCCTTGGTAGATAAAGTCTATCAATGTCACTGCGTGGATGAAGGGCTTGATTCATTGCCATTATTTTTCTAGTCTGCCTATCCATTGCTTTTAGTTCTGCTTGAGTCCAGTCCACTATTCCAGCTGTGTACCTAATGACTGGGATTGCCCAGGTGTTGATTGCCTTTATGGTATTTCCTCCATTGAGTTTGGATTTTAAGATCTTCTTCACTCTCTTGATGTATTCCCCTCTAATCTTTTTCTTGACTTCAGTGTGCTTGATGTTGTCAGCTTGAAGGATACCCAAGTATTTGTAGTACTCTTCCTCATCCAGACTCTTAATGTTATTTTCATGGGGCATCTTGATTCCTTCAGTTTTCATTATTTTTCCTTGTTTGATAGTAAGTGTGGCACGTTTGTCCAAGCCAAACTCCATTGCAATATCTTGGCGATATATATGGACAGTGTTGAGCAGCGATTCTATTTCAGATGATGTTTTTCCATACAGCTTCAGATCATCCATGTAAAGGAGATGGGATAGTCTGGCAGATGTTTTTGATGTTTGATAGCCATGTCCTGAGTTATTCAGTATTGTTGACAGAGGAAACAGTGCAATAACAAATAATAATGGTGATAATGAATCTCCTTGAAATATTCCTCTCTTGATATTAACCTCTCCCAGCCTCTCACCATTGATCTGCAACTGTGTCTTCCATTGTGCCATCGATCTTTGCACAAATTTTCTGATGTTTCTACTGACTCCTGTTATTTCAAGGCACTTGATTATCCAGTCATGTGGCAGAGAGTCAAATGCCTTTTTGTAATCAACCCATGCCACATTCAGGTTGGTCTTCCTTTTCTTGCAGTTTTCCAAGATCATTTTGTCTATTAGGAGTTGATCTTTTGTTTCTCTGCTATTGGGGCGGTTTCCTTTCCGCTTAGGTGGAAAGAGATTGTTTTCAACTAGATGCTGTTGTACTGCATCAGCTACCACACCAGTTAGTAATTTGAAAGTTGTTGGTAAGCAGGTAATTGGCCTGTAGTTGCCTGGTGTTGCCCCTTTTTATCATTATTATTATTATTATTATTATTATTATTATTATTATTATTATTATTAAACAGGACAATATGTCATCCTGCCATTTCTGTCATCATTTTAAGGCTATCATAGCTAAAGCAGCCAGCTGAATTAAGTCACTCCTTCCTCCATAACTATGGCACATAGTATTCCTGGTTCATATTAACCATCTTCTACTGTACAATATTACATGATCATGGTTTATTATGAATTTGTTTATCAAGATGGCTTATTTTATTCCTTGCAATCAATTAAAAAAAACTACTTGATTCAATATAGGGGCTTAGTTAATCATATGATCTTTGATCATAGTTTTATATTCATATACAAGTTTTGGACAGCCCTTTTATCTGTGATATCCAGTTTTCCCATGTGATACTTCTGCTCTGTGAGCTGTCCTGGATGCCAATTTGCTTCTGATATGATTCATGAGGCTTGAATAGGGTCCAGTTGTCTGAGAAACTCCCTATCTCCTACAAATCAACAGAGTTGACATGCTCTGGGTCTCTTCAACTAAACAGTATCATCTTTCAGGACCCAAGAAGCACACCTTTCTTGTCATGGACTTGCTGTTTTCAATGAGGTTAAAAATATTCATCTCCCTGAGCTAAGGTAGTCAGAGCCCTTGGTGAGCATTATTAATCTATGTTTTCTTTAGACTACTGGGATCCCAAATCACTAGCTTCCATGTCAAGAAAGATTTAGAGAATTATACAGGGCCATTCAGACAGTCAAATGTAATGTGACAGAAGTAGGAAATTATTAAATACATGGGAAATGTTGCAGTTCTGAGAAAAAGTATTGATTACTCAGATTTTTCAGAATTTTATCATGGGGATTTTTTTTTTTTTTTTGCCTCTTTATGTGGGTTCTATTGATATATACAGAAAGTCTGACTGAAATCTTTGTTAATGTCCCCCTTATAAACCCAGTGTTTTCAAATAGTGTTTTCTGAATCTATCTCAGGCTTTGAACAAACAATGACAGGTTGTGTCAGGTCCACCATTCGTATTCTGGTGTTCTGCCATTGTGCTGAGGGAGAGGGAGGATGGCATGCTTGGAATTTTTTTGTTTCTGCTGTTCTCTTGGGAATTGGGGAGGGGGACAGTTTTCAGAAATGGGATGGTCTCCTTCCCAGCCAGTTTTCACCAGGTTCCAAGACTATCAGTCCCTGAGTGTGAGCTATTATCTGCTTAGCACTTCAATGTTCTCAAAACAACTTCTCAGCATCACATTGGCTGTCGGTGGACTAGTCAGGGGGGATGGGATTGGGAAACTGAAAGAATTGCTTTATGCTTTGCGTGGGATCTTCAGATTCCGCCTGACTTTACTGCATCCAGTTTCTCTCAGTAAAAGTTATTTTGATTGAACTCAATGGATTCAAGAGTCTTACTTTCCTGAGGGACCGGCTGGGGCAGGTCTGACAGGTTGCCTCTTGTAGGAAGAATTGGCTCAAGTCCCCAGACAGGAGAAACAAGGGTGCCGCCAAATGAAGAGAGAAGCCAGCTGTTTGGAAAGAATGTTCTCTTCATTGATGATCAGAAGTGACTTCAGCAATCGGTTGTGGGACAGCTGACCAATTGGTTTGGTGAGTTGATAAGTTTGTATATATTTTTGGTGTTTCATGATTTTGAGGCTAGGATTTGTGTATCTTTTATTATTTAACTAATGTTGTTTTGTTGCCTACTCGAGGTTGTGACCAGTCCCCAGAGTGGGGGAAATGCTAATCTTAAGTGTTGGTTTCCTTGGTCTAATCCTATCAGTTTGATTTAATCAGTTTCGGCTTGCTTCTATTATATTGCCCATTCGGAGATTGCTGCTGCTGCACTTTCCTATTGAATGGGGGAGGTCTGGTTTTATGAATGGAATGAATGAAACATTGTTTCTGTTCATGAAACTTAGTATCACTCAGGCTGTTTGTTTGAGGCTGTTTCTGAGGGTAGAAGTGGAGATCACTCTCCCGCTCTGTGAGTTCCTTTTCTTCAGGCTATTTATGGGGTTGGGGAAGGTGAGGGAGAAGGGAGGGGGGCTCTTACCACACTCTCTTGAAAAGAGTCATTATTGTCCCAAATCTTCATTTCATGATCTTCTGATTCTTACTATGGATCAGTAAACATAGAACAGAGCTTTAACAATCATTTTATAATCTTTCCAAGACTGTGAGATGTTCCTTTTTATTAAGAAATTTAGTTTGAATGGAGCATGTCATTATTTTAGAATATATGCCATGAGAACTTCACTGTTACAAGGGCAACCAAAGTTTGTAGAATTGATGAAGGGTCAATTTAGCCCTTTGTTAATTGCTTAATTGCTTTGGCTGAAGTGGGAAAAAATATAGTACTTTACCACACTAATATATTACATATTGAATTACATTTATTTATATAGATTTCCTGTACACATCAGTAAGACCCATAGAAAACGCTGATAATAGATTGTGTTATGTTTGCTTTTAGAATGCATCTGCACAGGCAGTGCTAGGCATGTTTTAATATGTTCATGTATTTCATGAGCTGCACTAGTTGCCAGTATGCTTTGTGATAAGATTCAAGGTACAGATTACATCTATAGAGCCTTATGTGGCATGGGGGTTATTTGAGGGACAACCCACCCATGTCCCTTCATATCCAGTTTCTATACAATCAGTACAAGGAATAAGTGTGCCCTGGGTCCCTTTGATTAAATACTGCCATTGGTTGGGACCCAGGAATCTCACTTTTTTTCTTATGACGCCAGCTCTCTAAAATGAGATCCTTCTTGAGATCCAAGTGGCTTCCACTCTGATGGCTTTCTGGAGGGCTTGAAGGATTGAATATTCTCCTAGGCCTTGAAACAGGGAGTAGGTTGGATGTATTTGACTGTCCAGATTCCATATTTTTTATTTATTTTATTATTACCTTGTTTTTGTAATAAAATGAGACTCCCAGGATTGGTTTTCTAGTCAAATGGTGCATAAATCAAATCAAATAATTTAATCATCATTATCATCCAATTTTCAGAGCATAACCAAGAGCACAGCCCTACAAACTTAAATTCAAAAAAGCTGTGCACTAATTAGTGCTCTTGATTACTTTAAGAATTTGTAATAAAATAGTATAAAATCTGTTATGTGTTAAATTTACCAAAATCTTCTTGATTAATTTGCAGATTGCAACTCTGCAATACAGTTTACATTCAAAAATGAAAACAAATATAAATTTGACAAGGGAAGGGAACGGGAGTTGCTTTAATAGAAGAATGAATGAATTGGCGTTTTGTAACAAAAGAATTGATATTGTTTATCTATCAGAAACATTTGAAGACTTTATGCTTTCTTCTAAGAAACATAATACTCATTTCATGAGACTCCTAGAAGAAATTAACTTTGAATTTTACACATTTCTTAAAAGAGTAAAAATCATAGTGAAAAAAAAGTGTACAAAGATAGATGCTGACAGCAAGGTGGAATGTGCATGAGAGAGATAGTATTACAGAAAGAGCTCTGTACATAATGGGAAGCTCTTTCTTATTTCTAACAATACTGATTTACAATACATCAAATGTCAGAATGAGAAAGGAATGTTTAATATGAAGTATTGAGGACACACTGTCCTTTTCAAAGGCATGTTTAATTCAAATTATAAAATGTACTGTGAATTCTGAAAACCTTCAGGATGACTTTACATGTATATAAAAAACAAAGTTTCTCATATAGTATAACATTTATACTCCACAAATATTGTACTCCACAAAAATGTTGCCTTCATATTGCCTGTTGGCTTTATAAAGTCTACTGCAGTCTTATAACATTTTATACACATCCACCATGGGAGCAAAAGGAGGGAAATGACAAAATCAGTGCCTGACAATATTCCCACTGATAGCTGTAACCAAAAACTAGATCACAGTGTTTTTGATGCCTACATTTAATTTTATTACAATAAAAAGTTAATATATTACAAGTAAAATATTTAAATATTTGTACTTCCATCAGAGGAAAAAAATGCTTTTAAGGCTATAGAAATACAATTCCCAGGCTACATATTGGGCACTTCAGTATTAGGGAAATATTGGATATAACTATAATGGGTAATCAATTATCTTAGATATTAAAATCACTTGCAATTTAGAAACTTTATGTAAATCCAGAGACTAACTAACTTGCTTAGCTTTTTCAAACTCTGCCAAAGTCAAATAGATCCTGTCAAACTCAGCCAAAGTCAAATAGATACAAGTCAAATTCTGGAAGCTCCAACAAAAGTCATAATTCATTATTCAATGAATTTATATACATACACAATATATATATATATGTTTGTTTGTTTTCTGAGGTTTTTGCGAGTGTTTGTATGTAGGTCTTTGGTTATTCGGGTTTTCTCCCACGTAAAATTGGAAGTGTCTTGGCGACGTTTCGACGAAGTCTCATTCATCATCTTCAGGCTGGTGCTTTCGGCTTCGTGCTTCTAGGAGCAATGTGTGATCGTGGCTGTTTCTTCCTTTTAACTGCCAGTGGGGGTATGAACTGATTGCATGAGAGCTTGGCTGTGTTCTGATTGGATGGAGGTGTGTTCTGATTGGTTGGGAGCTTGGCTGTGCTCTGATTGGATGGGGGGTTGACTGATTGGTTGGGGGAGTGTTCTGTTTGGGTGGGGGCTTTGTTGTGCTCAGGTTAATCTGAGTTGCAGGGGGATGTGAGATGGTGAGCATTGCCATTGCTTGGCTTCGCATCCGTGGCCATGCCCCATCTTCATGGTGGGTGTCAGTTTGCTTCATGTATGGATTGGAGGGGTTTAAAGTGGCTAATGATGCAGCTGTGGTCTGGTTTCTGGTTTGTGGTCATGCCTCATCATCGGTGTGGGTTTGGGTTTGGTTTTTACGTGGACATGTGGTGATGACATCCTGTGTGGCTTTCGTGAGTGTGGGTCTGGTGTCATTCTTTGTGCTAGGGACTCGTTTGTCAATAAGGGTGGGTTTCCAAATGGCTGGTAGCCAGAGGTATCATCTCATTTGTTCATGCTGTGTGGGCATTTTTCTATCTCGATGGCTTCTCTGATTATTCTGTTATTAAAGTGTTCAGTTTTGGCAATAGTTCTGGTCTTTTTAAAGTCAATTTCATGTCCTGTGATTTTAAGGTGTTGGACCAGGGAAGAAGTTGGTTCCTCTTTTTTGACTGAGTTCTTATGTTCTTCAATGTGTGCACTTATTCTTCTGTTGGTTTGTCCGATGTATGTGGTGGGACAAGCGATGCATGGGATTTCGTATACTCCTTGATTTTCTAACTCTATTTTATCTTTGGGGTTTCTTAGGATGGTGGATATTTTTCTGTTTGTGCAGAATGCTGTCTTAATGTTGTGTTTGTGGAGGATCTTGCTGATTCTGTCTGTGGTGCCTTTTATGTAAGTGAGGAGGGCTTTGCCATTTTCTTGTTCTCTGTCTTGGATTTTAGTGGGGGTTTCTTTTTGGATTAGTTTGGTAATCTTATTTCTTTGGAATCCATTGGATGTAAGTACATTAGTGAGAGTGTGTAGTTCGGTTTTTAGGTGTTGCTCATCAGCTAGCGTTTTGTTCTAGAGATGAGTGTCTTGGCTACGGAGTTGATCTGTGCTGGGTGGTGGTATGAGAGAGCGTGCAGATAGCGGTTTGTGTGTGTTTTCTTCTGGTAGATGGTGTGTGCCAGGGAGTCATTGGATTTCTTGTAGACTAAGACATCCAGGAAGAGAAATTGGTTGTTAGCTTCTGTTTCCATGGTGAACTGTATTTTGGGGTGTAGGCTGTTGAGGTGTGTGAGGAAGTTGTCCAGTAAGTTGTCCAGGAAGTTGTCCTACATACAAACACTCGCGAAAACCTCAGAAAACAAATATTGCACCTCTACGGGGAGGATATCCACCATCTGACCAGGACCTATGAAAAACTCGAAGTCCAAAGAGCTTCCATTTTATGTGACCTTGCATTCCTACGCAACTGCTGAGATCAAAATTTAATCCCCACAGGTTTCCAATTGAAATTCCACTCCAACTTTGCAGCCACCAAACGCATCCTGAAAAGAACAGAATTGGCCCTAATCAGAAATGAACTTCACACAAAAAGATTCCTCCTAGACCGAATCAACAAAGATCTCCTCACACTTCACCTCAAACTCAACAACAAGATCCACCCCGCACTTTGGGACAAATCCAAACAACTCGCCGTCTGGAGAGCCAAAACACAGACCACCCTCAAGACAGACACACACACCAACAAACTCCGAAGACTACAAGAACGCCAGAAACAAACCCCTCCTCCCTCACAGCCACACATGAAACAAACAGTGCATAACATCTCAGATAGGATCCTCACCAAAGCCGAAACCAATGTCCTTTCCAAAGGATTTAACTTTGCAGTCACTCCCAAACACATCCCCGCTGAAACCATTATATGCGGAGTTGAAACCAGCCTGACCAAAATCAACCTCGACGATGCGAACAGAATCAGACTCAAAATCACCAACATCCTCTGCACCAGCAAGCCACCCAAAAGCAACTTACCCAAAGAGGAACAGACAGCACTACTTAACCTAAAAGAAGGCACCAGCATAATAATCTTACCAGCAGACAAGGGCAATGCCACGGT